GGGATAATGAGGTGGCACACACAAGCATTCATGTAGATGACAGAACACTAACAGTGATAAAAATAAACGAAATCATGAGACAAATCAAGAAATACAAAGCTGTAGTACTAGACAGAATACCAGCCGAAACATTAAATAAGATATTCCATGTTTTCTTCATAATGATTTGAGAAGAAGAACGAGTACGTGAAAACTGGAAAAAGAGATATCTCATCAAGATACTAAAGAAAGGAGATACCAATAGATATGAAAACTATCGAGGCTTCACGATATTTTTAGTATTAAGGAACATTTTCAAAAGTGTGCTGTTTAACCGGATGAAAGGAACAAGCAGAATTTCGTAAGGATTGATCATTCACCGACCAAACTGAGTAACGTCCGATCTTTTTTGAGCAACCGGGTGAATGGAACTCAACACTATACACCCGCTTTTTGGCTATAAGTGAGCATTTAACAGCATGCGTAGGAAACTAATGTGGTATCTGGTCCCATACTATGGAGTACTTGAAACGATCATCCCCATCATACGGAACTCTTACGAGGGACTGAACTGAAAACTTCTGCATGGAGGGTAGCTCACGGATGCATTCCAAGTAAAGACAAAGAATTTACTTCCAAAAAGCTCACTAATGGTTACCAAGTTGGTGATTCAACTTACATCTAATGATAAATTCAATGTGCTTTACAAAGCTTGAAGTTTATTTGATATAAAATAGATTCATTTAATGTAATACATACATGAAGATATATGTATTAATTAATTATCAGTGATCATCCTCAATATTATATTTCCTCTCAGTTTTCAATAGCCAATGTATTTAGTTCACTCCAATACCAATGTTTTCTTATTTTTCGTCTTTTTATCTTATAATATTCACTAATCTGCTAATCATAACTCACTAGAAAGTAATTAGTTTTTAAAAATATGCATATTTTCTTCTGAATGATAGCAACCCTTCATTTGATGACAGAAATTGGTTTTGTTTCTTCAGTTTCTTCAGAGTTTTCATCTAATTATATCCCATCAACTATCAATTTCTATGAGAACAGAGAAATGTATAGACAAATCATACAATTCACTGAAAAAGTTTAAGTTTGTTTATTTGATAATCAGTCAAACCTTTTGACTGTGAAACATACAAACACTATTCAGTATCTTAAACTGAATATGATGGTGTGCAGTTCTAATTCACAACCCAATGGTTATTATTTGAATGGTTACAAATCTCCAAGCCATTATATCACCAGTGAAAATCTTTAGTAAAACCTTATTGTTTATAAGTGATTAATACATTTTAAATTATGGATGTAGAGAAAATTTGTAATTTTCCATATAACTACAAGTGGAAAAATAAAAATGATTTAAACTAATTAAAAGTGGTAACTTTCATAATGATTCATTTCTTTACCAAAAATTATTTGTTTATAACCAGCTGAATAAGTAATTAACATGTTGAAAGTTTCAATATTGTAACTACAGGAATACACTGAAATATAAAATGTATTAAGGAGTAGTTTTACTATGAATATGTTAAGGTCTAACGATCTTACAGATGATGTGAATTCAAATTTTAAAAAAATCTTCCAGCATAAACTACTTTCTCGTACATTGGTTTCTTAAATGAGAATTTTATTAAGATGTTTATTTAGTCATTTCTTTTGATTATTTTAAAGACGTTTTATGGGAAAAGAAAAGAAAACTTGGTGTTTATTCTACAGTTTATTGTGTTAGACACACAAAAGTACAGATTTGATAAAATTAGGGACTTTCTAGGTAACTTTAATTCATCTTATTATTTAACTGTAAAGTTATTTGTATGTAGATTTAATGTGGAAGTACTACTAATATTCTGCTACTCAGTAGTTTGCTCGATAACTTTTCTTATTAATTCGTACTTTATGAGCAATCATCATATGGGTATTTGAAATATGGAGATCTTGGGTTTGACTTCTTTCATGGTTATGTAGTGTGCAGTGATGAATATTTTTTATCCAAGAGAAAAAAGCCGTCCAATTCTATTTAGTTTTTAATTGTTCCTCAGCTAAAATGTTGATTCGTCGTGATAATCATTTATCAATTAAGCCTATTCGTACAAACAAATGGACAAAAAACCTTTAGTGAATTTTCATTATTATACTTTAAAATACAATAAAGCTACCGATTAAAACGTTTTTACCTGAAATTATCTACTTATCATACAACATTTTTATCATAATAACGACGAGGTTTGTCTATTATTTTATGAGATAATACTGATGTGATCCATGATAGGTAGTACGTTTTCGAAATTATCAATTATGTAAAACCATTCAAATACAACACCGAGAACATCGATTCAGTCACAATTGATGGAGAAAAACTGGAACACATGGAAACGTTCACATACCAGGTCAGCATCATCGATGAAAGTGGAAGATCTGATACAAACGTAAAGGCAAAGATTGGCAAAGCAATGACAGAAATCCTACAATTGTAGAACATATGAAACTCAAAATAGCTGTATGCAAGCCAGTATGAAAGTCACAATCTTCAATACGAACGTCGAGACAGTACTGAGCTGAAACTTTGAGAACTAACACAAACATCATCGAGACAGTACAAGTATTTTGAAACATTTGTCTACACAAGATACTGAATGTCTGTTGAATACCTGCTTAAATATCTGTGCTACTTGTTCCTCCGATCTCGATATTTCATCAAGTTATCTGTTTTGTTGTTTGTTTTAGCACATCATTATGTCTATTGTGCGCACAATTTATTCAGGCGCGTTTATGAAAAGTTTACAACCTTTTGCTATACGTGATACAAAAAGGTACAATCAGCGACATCATGGTGGCCGGCAATATGCATTGAAACGAATGAACATTAATCAAATGTGGATTACCAAACTCCTAACATCTAACCGGTCATCATTCAAAATTTATCGCCACAATAGATCAAGGTATAAGAAAAGGAAACTTGTTGAAATACTTTATGCTGAGAATTCTGTGTTGTACCAAAAATATGATATTGAATAAAGCTTCTAATAATAATAAAATAATCAACATCAGTCTACTGGGGGAGAGAACAAACCAGTTCACATTTGAAAAGAAAATTAAGAGAAGTCGTTGAAAGTGAACAGGACACAAATAGCAGAAATAATCAAATTGCATCATGAGGCAAGCAGCAACTTGGAATTTGGAAGGGAGACGGAAACGAGGGAGGCAAAAGAACACACTGTGTTGAGAATTGTAAGCGGATATGAAAAGAATGATTGGTAAGTGGAGACAAGTAGAAAGAATTGGCCAGGATTGAGTTCAATGGGGAATGTTGGTGGGCGACCAATGATCCTCCACGAGAAGTAACAGGTATAAGTAAGTAAATTCTATCATGTAGTGAGTGTTATTTCATTTGACATATATCTATGAATAAACACTAATGAATAATATTGAGTAAATCTATGAATTGAACTACCAAAGTAGAACTATTAATTACATTTGAATTTTAAAGCTAAAACTTCTTCACTCATTTTGTTCAAAGAAGAGTTAAACAAATAACTCTGTATTAAAAGTTCATGTGATTTATGCGTAATAATTACCAGTTTTTAATTAAAAATAATCCTTTTAATCAATGTTTTTCTTTCAAGAAATTAACTGATTGAATTTATCAGGAAAAATAAGCGTTTTAATGTATGATACTTTAAAAATAAAAATAATAAGTATGAAATATGTCTTAAATGAAATCATAATTATTTAGGAAAATTGATTCGATAGAAGGAAAAGTCAAAATTTAATTGATTTACAAATTAGGAGTTTTTTTTCAACATAATTTCCGTTTTTTGTTTGAATGTGACGATTATTCAGTGTAGCTTTGGTTTTTTGTTTTCTAATGTGATATTTTATTCTGTATAACATACGACATTGTTGACAAGATCTATGCTAAGCTTATGATTTGGTATAAATCTAAGTACTTTTTATATATGTGATTTCATCCTAATTATTAATCAAAATGTGTGTACAATCAGTATATAAATGAGTGCATTTCTGACTAAGATCGTCGTGTTTTGGGGATTAATAAATCTTCAGTTATACCAGTCTTTGTATTTTTAATTTCGCATCGTGGGAATTGCAGAGGTCCCTCATTTCGAGTATAAGTGGTAAGCGATCCCAACATAACAATCAGCGACGACCAGATATAAAAAGTAGCGTTCCAACCAGTCATTAAGTTATGAACATATCTATTTGTCAAAAAGGTATTTATACCAAGAATTTAAATTGTTCAAATTTCTTCTATTAATTTATTTGTTCATTGTTCGACTGAATCACATTAATTAGTGTCCTTGATTCTCATAAGTTTAATAGAAATAATATTTACTTGAAAACATCATGTTAAATAGAGAACAAATGTCATTATTTCCACTATAGAAATCATTATGACATTTCACAGAAATCAGCAATAAAGTTGATATTATGTAGTTTACTTTTTCTCACACAATAAATGCTTTAGAATTCTTTCAGAAAAGCGGAAATATATAGAATTCCTTATTATTTATGTAAATCTGCTGTAAATTTATATTGAATAGTGTTTATTGAGATTTTTTTGTCAAATTTTACGTCACTCAGCGCATTTTTTCTGTGGTTCTCGGAAACGTATTCAAATACTATGATTTTTGTTATAATCCCAATCTCTTAACTTGATATGTAAGACTTTGTAAAACTACTAAGCTGAAAGTTGTAGTGTGAATACAATAAGCTGGTTTGTTTTCCACTGTCCATCAGTGTTTTCATATTAAACGATCTTACTTTGATAAAATTGATTACATTTCAGAGAGGTCAGTTCATACACTCAGTAACCTTAAATCTTTTTTATAAAACTAGATAAGTAGTGAATGAATGTTTTCTCTGAAAAACACATCTGTTATTATGGTTTTAACATGATGAACTGTAAAAATTTACAAAAACCTTACCAATTAATTGATAAATTGATGTAATTTTGTGGCATAAATTTGAAAAAAGTCAAATAAACGCAATTGAAAATATCTATTGTATAAAATGAATTACCATATTTATCATAATAACAATAATTAACACAGTTTTATATGCAGAAACATAGAAGAGGAATAAAGAAGAAGAGGAAGAAAAAAAAGAAGATGAAGAAGGGGAAGAACGCAAAGACAAAAATCAATTTATGAATTAATAAATAAAGAACATACAATTCTCTTATAACACGGTAAATGAAACAGATAAGAGAATATAGATAAAGAAATTAATGTGTATATACAAACAAAGGATGGTAAATATAATTGATGGAAAAAGCAAAACCGTAGTCGGAAAATGTACATGCGAATTTTTCTTAAATTAAACTTACAAAAAGGTTGTTTGCATACATTTTAGTATAACAAGTCATTAGAACATAGGTATATATATTTATATATTAAAGGAAAAATGGTATTTCCAACTCTCCATTAGAAATATGAAAAGAAATTTATGTAATGGAAAATCGAAAAAGTAAAGACAGAGAATGTGAAATGAGAAGGGTAAAATAAAAGAAGTGAAAAGGGGAACACAAAATATAGGGTGGTTACTAGGAGAGCGTGGAACAAGGGGAGAGTAAGAGTTACTAAACCTTTTTGGAATAAATCAAATATTATCATTTTAATTATGCACTAATAATACTCATGATTACCATAATTATTTATCTTAGCAGTTATAACAGCACTGTTTGTAGAACAGTCAATAAAACAATAAAACTATATACTTTATAAACTTGGTTACTAATATGTTAGTCATAACGAGAAAAAATTAAGTTGAATTTTTAAGTAGTAAATAATAATAATTAAAAAATAAGTGGTTTTAATTCTGTTATTTGTTTTTTCTCACAGCAGCTCGAATGAGTATACGAATAAATGTGTATAAAAGAAACATTTGTCCATAATTATGATAACGATTATCAATTGCCATGATCTGCATTCTACCTGCCATAATTATGATAAACTCTTTTCAATGATATAACAAAATCAGTAGTTGTAGAAGTGGCAGCAGTAGTCTTGACTGTCTGTATATTTAAATAACTATCGTATTAATAGAGGAGGAGTTGTAAGATATGGATTGGTGAAATTGAAATGAGATAAATAAAATGTAAATAAATAACTTGAACTGATCAAATTGATAAATAGGTTGTCAATCCAATCGGAATAATGGTAGTTAAAAAGTATAACACCTCTCTTTTGCTCACTCTCTCTCTTTGTATAGATATCAGTTAGAAACATAAAAATAATAGGATTTTGTGTACAAAATAACCAAACATTGTGGAAATTATAATCAGAAAAAAATTTATTATTATTATTGTAACAATATCAATATTGAAGTATATACCGATTAGTTATCTGATTTATTAAAATAGATTATATATTACTGAAGTAATGAATTCTTTTTTACAAGGAATATAAAAACATAAAGAAGGAGATAGATAAAGTGAGGAAGAATGCATTACTTTTGGTTTATTCCATTTCAAATTACATTGTCATTGCGATTTCGACAAACTAAACAAAAAGAAAGAAAAAAAATTGAGATTCATCATTGTAAACAATCCATTGAATTAATAATCAAGTATTAAATGGTCAATTTAGGAAAAAACAAGGTGAATTGAAGGGAAAAAAATTCACAAATGTAATACTGAACAAAACAATATACTGTTCATTGTATTGTTTATTTGAAAGTAGTCTGAAATCGTTAATTTATAATTTACTATAAACGAGTAGAAAATAGGTTTGATAGACATTTTTATTAAAATGTTGAATGTTTAGTCAACTGTAAATATATGTAACATATGTAACAGTAAAAAAATGACAAATGTCAATTGATAGTTATAATACACGTGTTGGTTAACAGTGAAACAAATTTTGCCAGTTAGTTATTAAGTTCCATTAGTAGTTTAAATCATAACCATGTACTTGTCTTAATTTCTTATTTAGTGCAGCGTTACGTTGTGAAATGTTGCATCTTGATTATACTAATTGATTTTAGATCACAGCTTCGACAGATTTCTAACATCGTCATTTTATTAACCAGTACGTCTATTTAGAAGAGCTAGAAAAATGTTAATTAAACAAACACAATTCTATCGATCTGAGAAATTTTAAGGTTTTGTGAACCTGTCCATATATCAGTAGGGACTGAACATTTAAGTAGGTGTTAGGCTTTTTAGTTACACGTTTAATCCCAAGTAATATTGACTGTCATAACTCACTTCCTACAAGATTACTTCAAAACTCATCAATATACCTTGTATGACTTAGATCAAAAATTTGAAAGTATAACTTTTAATTTTGAACAATCACTCGCCTTACTTTATCAGGAGTAGTTTTTGAACAATACACTAGAACAAAGAGAAATGATAAAAGTTCAATGACTGAAAACAGTCATACAAATCATGTAGGCTATTAAAAGGCAAGCGAGTTTTCAGTATTAACGCCAACGTTTCACCATAAGTAGAAAAGTTTCCCAACTAAATGAAATGTTCTTATTTTTTATATTTCGAAGGTCAATATTTTATTTTACTTTCTAAAAACTACGAAGTTTATCCTCCTTGCCTCCTTATCATTACTACTAGCTACAAAACTAATTACGTTTCTTCCATTTTATATAATTTGAAAAGTAGTATATTTATTAAACTGAAACCTTAGTTGCAATTTTTAATAATCAACACTCTAATCTCGTATATTTAAGTATAATTTGCGAAAATAGATGTAGTTACAGATTGATACCAGCTGCTGAAACATTTAAAACTAGGCACCATTGAACATATTGTTCGTCCCAATTAATGACTCATTATTCAACATACGGTAAAGACTTTGTTCGATCAGGATTAAATTTGAAAAATATTCAAGTCTGATGGTTACCCAGTTTTCAAAACTTAAGTCATTTCATCAGATAACACGCCTACTTCTAAAACTACTTTATATTACACGTTATAGACAAACACTTTATTAAACTGAAATAACAAACATATCACATAAAGCACTTGTATATCATAACAGTATTTAATTTTCGTTATTTGATTCGCTCATTTTTGAAGATAGTTTATTGAAATTCTGTGATTTCAGAAACTAAATATATGAAGATTAGATGTTCGTGTAATGTACTTGTTTCATTGTACATCGAGGTGTACATTGTCGAATAACTTGTATCCATAAAAGTAAATTTATTTATGATAATTCTGGAGTTAATTATCAAAACAATGAATACAATAAATAAAACGAAAAAAAAAAAAAACAAAAACAGGAAAACCTAAAAGCCTACTTGTTCCAAGGGTAGAACAGCTCGTCCACCATGATCAAAATTCTTAAAAATTGCTATAACCACATAATACAAATGAAAAAAGAAAATAAATTAATAAAAATATTCAACAAAACATAAAAATTATTTTCATAAAAATATTATCGATTGAAATTAAAAATAATCATTAGAGACACTTATCAGTGACAATAATTTTACCCATATGTAACAGAATCAATAGGAACATTAATCTTGACTAAAAACTTTATCGCTTAGAGTAATTTATCTTGATAAGAAAAAAAATTATCATGAAGAGAATTTTCTATATTCTTTTTTCTCTTCATAGTTAAAGTGTCAATTAGATTGATAAGTGAATTCATTTTAAATTTAGAGAAAGAATAGAAACTATAAATTTGTAACAAAAATCTATTTTGTCCTACTGCATAATTTCTCAATCGAAAGTACTTGTTTCAAAATATATTATATTTAGATATAGATCAGAAAGTATATATCTGACATTATCAATTTATCAGTTGTAAGTTAATAATTCTGAATGAAATGATTTATGTAATCGTCATTGACTTCAAGTAATTAAATGAAGCAATAACGATTTATACGTTAATATTACACAACTATCAAATCATTTTTTCCATGTATTCGATCGTAACTATTTCATCATCGATTAAAAATTAGTTAAACAAACAGTATTAGTAAATATTATACAAATAATATGACTGAAGACTATTTTTATGAACCTTGACTTGGTTGTTCAGTTAACTACATATTTATGTACAAGTAAACTTGTTGTGAGTATCAAATCCACCGTAGTGCTTTATTATTCCTGAGGTAAAAATGTTTACGAGTCACTTTTTACTCCAACTTCAGTTTATTTTTTCTTATCTTCTAAAACGAATGAAATATTTATGTAAATCCGATTTCTTAACGGATAAATAAGTGAAGAGGTGGGTTAGCATTCATAATAATAGTAATAATAATAATAATAATAATAATAATAATAATAATAACGGTAGCACTTACCAACTGCTTTTGTTATAAGTGACATAGCGCTGATAAAATGCGGATAATCAAGACGCCAATCTACATTAACAAATCGGTTCACAAGTTTAGAAAATAGTGTGTGTGGAAGAGTATAACCTAGTTGAGAGAACAAGCAACAATATAATAAATAATCAATATTTGATATATCCCCCAAAATAATAAAATGCTTTACAAATACACTGTTAAGAGTGATGGATACCTCATTCTTGACAAGTGGTAGGTAAAATAGCTGGTTGAAAAAAAAATAAAAACAGCCAGGCCAAGATAAGACATAAGTCAGTGGAGTTGTTGGTTGTTCTTCAGAACCGTGTATGGCGAATCTGACTTAACGGTCGCAGTTAATGCAAGTACTGGAAATTATAGTTGAAGACATTACACGATAATTTTTAATACTATAATAATCAGTTTTGTGTGCCTGTAATGACTTGCATCAAATAATAGAAATATGGAAACTGTTTACAGCAAACCAGATAAAATAAATGACTTAGTGATATCAGCAACTGGAAAATTTATATTGTCTTGACATTTTTTAGTTTATCAATGATAAAAATAGACTTCACGACACGTTCAGAAATAAAATTGTTAAGTAATTAATAATGAACTGTTTTCAGGCCATAAAATTTTCCACTAAGCAATATGAGCAGTTAGGTAACACCAAAGTCGTTCATCCGAATTTTCTAAATGAGAACAATGATAACTTACAAAATCAGTTAACTAAAATGACTTATCTGTACAAACTGTTGACAATTATCAAACTAAAAAAAACGAAATTTTTTAAATGAACATACTCTCAATTGTACAAATAACTCAATTACTATTTGTCTCGTCATGAATTACTATCCGTATTATTACTAAAAATTGTACTGAAAAATATTAAAATCGTATAAAAAGCGTAATTTACCCGCTTGTTCAACAATAATTCGAAAGTCCAAACTCGTTACATGAGCAGTTCTCTGTGGATCAAAACTTGCAAACAGACGAGACCATGATCTTAGAATATCCCAGACTCGCCGAAAATCTGATTCACACAAACGTCCTGTCCCATCACGATCGAGAAGGGCTACCAGAGATCGACAAGCATCTGTACTAACCTGATTAAATTTTTAACAAAATTTTAATGAATTATTGTACAAGAACACTTACATAAATACTGAGTAAATTCTGTAAACATTTCAAACCATGCACTATTAATAATGATGATCTTATTAAAATAGCAAATGAGTTTAACGCAACAATTAAAAATTGATAGGTAGACTTTTTAAACGTTTGAACAAAGATTAGTATCAACAAATTACACATGTTTTCTATCTTACATGTAAAACAATAGAATAATGCCGAACGAATGGTTTTATTATTCTCACTTAATGTCAATATCTAATGATGTTTGGGGCAATTTAAAACACTAAGTCTAGAATCTCAAATAAACAGAATCATCGAGTACCTTGTATCTTAAAATTACCGTTGGTTATTTTCGGTGTTGAGTTGTTGTAAATTGAATTTATATACATCTGCATTGCTAACAATTAAGAGATTCTTCTAATACAAAGTGGAATCTTTGTGAAGTGGAAAAACTGGATGACTAACGCACAACACTTAAACGATAGTCCTCCGAACACTGGATGACAGAGAAGAAAAACATTGAAATAATGTAATATATAAGCCTTGAAAACAGTAGATAATCACATCAACAGTTAAGTGCCTTTCCTGATTTAAATATGAATAGTTTTCGCATTTCTCAAAGTCAAAGAGGATACAAAATCCTCACACTGGTAAAGGAAGCACGATTCACTGATTTATCGGTAATATAGGAAACTCTGCCAATTACAATCAAAATGAAACTTATTCTCAAAACGTTCAGCAGTAATTTTCGAATCAATACTACCTAATTGGGAAGTTTCTAAGTCATATGGACATATGAAATGGAAGGTTATTACATACCATACTGTATGGTGCCCGATGATCATCTCGCAAAAGGCAATTAAGTATTGGTTCCAACTGAAATGCATCAACAGCCATCGATTCACCTGAAGCTTCATAAAATAATCGTCTAAGACGTGGCTGAAATAATTCATAGTTTGGATCAAGCTCTGGTCCAGTTGCAGCTAAACCACTAAGTTCTACGCGTTCCAAAGTGGATCTGAAAACAATAAAACAAATCGATGTTTTATGCTAGAAGATAATATAGTATATTAGATAATGTGTTAGATTTCAATGTTAACACGTTATCAATCATCATAGGTAATAACTAGTAAATATAAGTGGTGGCCTTTGACAATAAATATTAATCTCTACTGTTGTTCGAGCTCTATCATTCAAATGCATTATATAATTATTAAGATAAGTAAATCAAAATTATATCACATTGTGATTTCTGTCTAACAACCGGAAACAGTTATTAGAAATTAAATTCCTTTTGTGAATTTAATATAACGTATTCATTTTAGGTTACTGAAATGGCTTACGTGGTTTCGCTCATAGTTTTGTCGATAAATTAACTCTCGTGAATATATATAAGCGGCCTGCTTAAATATCTGGACAACATGTTCCTGCTATCTAGATATTTCAACAAGTTATCTGCCTTTTGTTTGTTTCAATAGATCATTATGTCAATTAATTTTCGTAACCTATTCAGTTAGGAAAGAGCACAATCAGAGACATTATGGTTGCTGGCAACATACAACGAAAAGAAAGTAAATTATACAGATGTCGATTGCTGAACTGCCAACATCAAACTGGCGATCACTCAATTTTTAACGTCAGGATCGATTAAGAAATAAGGAAAGGAAACTTGATGAAATACTTTGCGCTGAGAATTCTATATTATACCAAAAATATAATATTTAATCAAGCTAATAATAAGACAAATTTTCCGACTATATAAGTTCAAAGCTGTTAGTTAATTATCAGAGCTGATAGATTAAGGAAATAATTACTTCTGTCAATTATAGATTAATGTTCTATTTAGTATTTGACTTAAAGGTAACTGGCTTCTTAAAAATCACATGAAGAAAATTTTTGTTACAGACAAAGAGCTACTTACTCGCAAATTCTATCCGGATTGTCAAATAATAAACGTAATAAAAATTCACCTGGTTGATCAGCTGCATATGTACATGGAACAAGAAGATAATGACCTGGTGTTAATTTTAACCGTTTAACAACTTCTCTAGAATCGAAGAAAAAATCCACACTAGCTATATGATGATTAGTTTCAAAAAATCCACGTGGCATTGGTGGATTAGCACCAGCTGGAAGCTGATTATTATTGTAACAACAGAAAATAAAGATAAAAACAATAGAAATAACAATCATTGAAGAGATTTATTCGACTTATTTTGTCATAATTAAAACGTATACAATGAAATTTAAGTTTCATGTTCATGTATACTAGAATATAATACTTAGATAAAAGTCAAGATCTATCATAAATTATGAAATTTATTGCATCATACACTTTCCCATAAAGTAATGACTAGCAGCCAGTGCGTTTGTGGGTTGAATTTCAATCTGTTAGCAGTCTCTTCTCAAATCAATCGCTACTTAAGTTGATATCAATATTCGTCAACTGATTGCATATAAATTTCTTTATCAAACCAAATAAATAGGTAAGATTTTGAAGTTTGCAAATACTGAACGTACAATAGCTACAACAGTACGCAAACTTCACAAAATTATGGTACAGTTAACCAGCAATGGCATCATCCATCTGATAGATTAAGAAACTAATCACCTTCAATCTTAACTACCCAATGTACAGAAAATTTGAAACATTATCTTTTCAATGACAAATACGAGGACAATGTGTAGTATCATTCACTTTGTTATAACACCATAAAGAATTATCTAATGCAAAACAAACATCTCATCTTACCAAGATTGTGTACTTTACATGAATTTAGTTTATTTTTGGATATAAGATTAAAATATATAATATTAGTTAAACAGTTGGATTTAGTGCATAAATATAATTTAATCATAATTCTATATATGAACAATTTACAAATAATAAAATTATCAATTTGAATGAAATCATTAATTAGTTGGCGGAAATAGAATTTCTACAAAATTCTCGAAATAAACAAAGGATTGTTTCTCTACATTATTTTCTAAAGTTGATAACAATGAAACAAATAAAGTAGTTTTGTACTATTGAATTTACTGGTAAACTTATTATCTTACACGTTTTAGTATCTAGTTCAGTTTTCTTAAAACTTGTGTTGCAAGAAAATAAATTTCTGAGGTTGAATAACTTCAATACTGAATCTTCAGGAAATATAGTAGGTTCCATTGCAGAAATACTATAACATCTAATAACATTATATATATAATACCAAACTTATTAGATGAAAATACATATACATTATAATGTCAACTTCATAGATTTCATATGCTCAAATCTAACAGGAAAAAGGCGTTACTAGATTTATACAATATAGAGGTCATATAAATAAATTACTTTATTTTTAACGGAAGCAAGGTAATTCCTATGTTAGCTGATGAAGATTATATAAATAAATATATACAACATAAGGGTAGAGTTCATATGAAAAAAATTTGCTTTATAACTTACATACATAAAGGGAACATTGGTACTAATGGGGTAATTTTGCTGTCAATTCAATAATAATTGACTTACATTTTTATTATCTGTAGTTACATACGAATTCATATTGAAATCAAGTCATTAACTGATCTCAATTGTATTTTGCCGCGATTGAATACAAAAATTAAAAATCACGGCTTAGTGACTATAGAAACGAACTGAAACATTTCTCAATAAAGCGATTTAATCACAAAAGGTGGTAATAATAATCTTGTTTCTTTTGTCAATTTACTCAAAATAGTTTGATACTTAGAACAGATGACAGAATGGTATGGTACTCTTTTATGCTATTCCCGTACTAGAAATGTGAAACAAATTACAGGTACTGAAAGATTCAACAGACACCAAGTTTCGAGATCAACAATTCGGATTCCCTGAGCATAAAATTGTGATATTACAAATCCCTATGCATCAAATTCCTTGACTATGAGGAGTTTTACAGTGAGGATAGAAGAAACTCATGGAACCTTCTTCAACGCTATGGAGTGAGTAGCTGAGAAAATCGCCAACATCATCCGAAATTCATACGACGGACTACATTACAAAGTAATGTATGGAGGACAGCTGACAGATGCATTCCAGGTGAAGATCTGAGTCAGACACATTCGCTTACTCTCTTCCTTTCTCTTTTGATAGTTGAGTGGATTATGAACTCCACATCCGAGGGGAAGCACGGAATAAAATGGACGGCTTACATGCAGCTAAACGACTTGGACTTCACAGATGACGTGACCCTTCTGTCCCATACACACTAACAAATGCAGATGAAGACAATCAGGGTAGCAGCAGTCTCTGCATCAGTAGGCCTCAAAATACACAAGGGAGAAAGCAACATTCTTAAATACAACAAGGAGAACACCAATCCAATCACAATTGATGGAGAAAATCTGGAACAGGTGGAAACATTCACATACCAGGTCAGCACCATCGATGAAATTGGAAGATCTAATACAAACGTGCAGATAGTTACTGGCTCATGCAACAGGTATGGTGTTTATACAATTACTTATAGAAATCATAAAAAACTAATATGCGATCAGTCACATAACAAATAACTTTAAGTGTTACATAAGATCAAGAATAAAACTATACGTATAACGGTAACAATATGTCTTCTGACAGAAATTGAGGAATTTTCAGAAAAAAGATCTGGTACAACCTTGTAGTCAACTAATTTTTATGCGACTCTACTATTCAGTTTTTCTGTAATTTAATATCTAGTGGTTTTGTCAAATCACAACTGTTCACATTCTATATAATAAGATTAATTAATGACTAGTGAAGTTGAAGCAAAACATAACTTATCTACGCAAGAACGAAATGCTTAGAATACTGGTTAAAATCTTTTTTTGAATCCTATGATTAAAGTTCTTACATTTGATTGCCAAGATTCCACCAATGACACAGAATCTCTGGTCGTTAAAACGATGTTTACTCTTTCTTTTTTATTCAAGCTCTCTTTGAAGGTTTTATCAATTTGTTTGTTTTCCAATATACATTACAGACAATATAATATCGTTAGCTTTTATGATAATGTCAAGAACGAATGAAATGTTCTCAGTTCCTGCATATCTTGATGTTACCCAAGACTCATATAACTCATGGAGTTGTTGGCAGTCGACATCTAAGTCAAGAGCACATTACCGAAATTCTACTATCACATATCACATCTAAATTTCATAATATTTAGTTAATCCAATAATGTTTTGCCCCAGAAATTGTTAAAATGATAAATTGTTCTGTTTTATTAAATTACATAATTATAGGGAACGAAAAGGAGTAAGTTAATAACCTAATTTAATCAGTACTTTCATGTAATGCTCTTGAAACTTGTCTGAATGAATACTGATATAAATGACAAATGAATCTGAATATAAGTAAACAAGCAATATCATTAGAGAAAAACTTGTTAGTAATGCACTAAAAGGGCATTTGATACCAGAACTTTACCATAATTTGATTAGAAAAATAGTTAGCTCAAAATAGAATTGATTATCCAAAGTATCATAACACGATTATTTATATATTTAGAATTTGTAGTCTTTCATGTAAACGAATGTTATTGAGTGAATTATTTTAAAACAAATTAGACTTAATTCATTGTCCACTTCATTTATTTATCATTCAACTGTTAATTTTGACTTATTCTATTATGAACTCAGTATATATGAATGTGCAAGATAAACTTTTCAAATCCTTTTAATGTTACAAAATAGTTGATAATAATCGACATATGCTCATTAGTGTCTGGCTTCAACATGTAAATCCTGGAGTTCTAGTGATAAGCAGTGAGGTTCAACCGGGTTAGTTGTGAGATACTAATTCACTGACGGCAATGATGGATATGTCGCTCAATTTTGTGGATTAGTTGGAGTTAGACATTGATGTTATTAATTAGTAATTTTGGATCTAAGGAGATACAGCAGAAAATAGCTACTTCTTAGCAAGTGTAATCACCATTTATTTTGATTCGAATCTTATCTGCTTTAGTATTTCATTCCCATGCAATCAATGTCTACTTAAATAATTCTTCAAGATCATTTTAAATCCATTTGGTTAAAAAATTAGTGAATTTATAAAATCTTAGATTATTAGCCGTATTCACTATCGGCTTTCTTAATCCATTGACCAAGCGCTTATCTATGTGGCATTACGGAACACTAATAATAATAACAATAAAATTCTCATATGTTTATGGTGATTTTCTAAATAAACTATCTACGTATAACAAAGATTGAGTAAATACTATTTACTTCGTTTATTGCAAAGAATTAAATAAATATATGTTCGCAAATGCAACATGAATAGTGGAAACTGCGCAAGTACATCATTGGTTGACAAGAGAAATTATATGCATAAATCTATGCACACATTAATAAACTCGTAAATCTGTGTATTGTGAGAGAAAAACACTAAAGTAAGCTTCACAATCTTTAAGCTGATGAAAAACAACACAAATTGTGATTGTACATATAATACGTTATTTATGGAGAAGATAATTTATTATTAAGGGTTTAATTCTTTGCGTTGTCGGTGTTAAGAACTGTAAGGGATCAGTCTTCTTTGGCATATGAGCATCCTGAGAGGATTGCCTCGACATTGCCACCAGTCGTAAATATTTTTCAAGTTGAGTTGGACTGTAGTTTAAAACACTGGAGACAAAAATCATTTGTTCTTAACATATGACATTAATACTTTTAACGTGATGATAGTCCAGAGGGCCAGTATATGCAAACAAAATCTTTTTTTCACAAGAAGCACTTATATATATTAGGAAACATCTATCAATAAACACAAGCAAGAAACAAAAGTGGAGTATTTTCAGTCTAGAATGATTAACCTTTCAAACAGATAACTAAATCTATAAGTTTGTTTATTCAACATTGGTGATACTAAAGTTCGTCAAAAAATGCTATAAGAATATCTCAAATGTCAGGTTGAATAGATACATAACTTAATGTTTGGAAAGATGAACATAAGTTATATTTCACCCTAAATGTTCAAGCAAAATCATATTAGTAATCGAAAAATGTATACAGCGTACCCGATATAAAACAAATCCAATAGATGCGAGTCGAGGAGCACGATGACGTAGACGACGACGGTCAGCTTGCATTAAAGCAATTACGGTTGTAGCAAACCCATCAGGATCATTTGGATCAGGTGAATTAATTACCAGTCGAAATTGAGGATTCGCCCAGTGACTTGCACGGATGTATGGTCGACCTCCACATGACACACCTCGAAGCCATCGACCACGTAAGTGAACTGATGGGAAATTATGTAAGGAATGATAAGCACTAGAAGATTTAGAAATTACTGGGGGTGGCTCTGTTAGATGACAAATATCCAAATAGTCAAAATTGGCAATAAAATCTTCAAGGGACATCCTGGAAAGTTGAAATGTACCGACACAAATAGACGGATAGTTATAAATTCAACACGAATAAAATTAAACTTATACGGTAGATAAACATTATAAATTTTGGTCCGCTTTAAGAATCTCACTGAAAAATAAATTAGTTCGGTTAAAATCTGAAGGTAATTAACAATTCTTTCACATTCATGAAACCTGAGTTATATTTTCACTACCAGGAGTAGTTGGTTAACGTTCGCTAACGATTTCAATATTGACAAGGAAATTATACATATATAATGCTAAAATATACCTTAAATCTAACTTGTAAAGTATTAAGATCGATTAAATTAAATTATGCAACTCAGTACGTTAAGAAAGTTATAATTACGAAGTATATTGATATATATAATATTTATCCGTTTTCAAAACTGAAAAAAAGTAAATTATAAATTGCCGTTGGAATTAGTATGTAAAATGTCATCAAAACAATGTAATAGCAGGCTTTATTTTGCGCTTTAAAATATGCAGATTAATCCAATTCAAAAGAGAAAGCCAATCAAAAACAAATTATCATAAATTTATTACCAAAACTCTTCTTGAGCTTTCACCAAGCCAACTTTTAAACGGTCTTGTGGTGGAAGACTAAGCCATTCTGTTGAACCCTCTGACCATGCACCTGTCCAGTCCACACGAACTGAAGGCCATAAATTTCTTAAGCGAACTAAACGGAGTAAACGACTTCCTGATGCATCCGTCAATCGAAGCTTTCGACAATCTGTTAAACCAAATGCTTGACCAGGTACAAATCCTACCGGTATGACAAAACCTGGACCAGGTACTCCTTTAGTCTGATTCCAATTAAAATAAGTTAATAAACAAGGCAAATATTTAATTACTGAAAAAAACGCCAGTGGAAATTTCTAAAAAATCATGACACAACAAGCAAAATTATCTTCGATATAAAGGTCTTATTGATAAGAAAACCTGTGGAGACAAGCTGTATATAATAGCAACCCAATATACACCCAAGACATTAGCAGTTAATCAAATTTACAGTTATATCATGAACTGACATGATAGGTTGATTCAAGACCTATTATGAGCATTACAGACATCGTAATCTTATTTGTTATGTTGTATGTATCCACACACAGTTAATTCTGACCTTTCACACTTGTAACCATGTTATGTGTGTTTATCTATGTCCGCTTGTCTATATTATCTTTGTCTATTTGAGCCATATGGGCTGGCACAAAATTAAATAAACGATTTGACGCCAGATATATCCAGATTTGCATGGTTGACGGTTATTATGTGGATGCGTGAAATATATTCTTCTACCTATATTTATAATTTAACTTGCAAATACCACCTATACACAATATGGCTAGTCGGAGTTATTATATACGAAATTAAAAATAGAGTATATTTTATCTTCATCAATTAGAGACAGAAAATATGCAAAGGGGTTGTACAATAAAATGTATCCGATTGATCTTCAGGTTTTTTGAAACTTCAAACCAATAAACAGGTAGTAACTCGCATTTGTGTACACAGTTGTGAACATCCAATACTGGACGCAGTAATTGTTCATCAATCGCTAGCTCTTCAGATGGTGTACATCCGTAGTGAAACTATCTTAGGATATCTAAATTAACTATGACTTGGTTTTTGTGAAATTTAATTAACAGTAAAGTAACAAGACATTAACCATTAGTACAACTAACAGTTGACGATTTAAAGTGAAAAGAGTAGAACAAAATTAGAAAACAAATGATTATATTTCTTCTATTCACAGCCGTTAGGGAAATATTAAATAAAATCTAGTAAAACTTTAGTCAGATATTTATAAAGATTTGTTTTTTTTAATTAGTTTGACTAAAATAAGATGAGAAATTATTATAAATTCTTAGAAAAGAAAGAACTTGTAACAATACTAAATGCTAAACGTCAAAGAGATCGTTTTTAGGCCAATCAACATCGTTCCATGCAACGACCACAACATAGTATTCAGCCATGGGGTTCAAATAAGTTAGTTCATAGTTTACTATTTGGATCTATTCAAATAGTTAATAAAGCTAATCGATTTCCTATTTCGTCGATTAAACAGATTACATCTTTTAACTTAATCTTTTTCAAAATAAGTCACTGAATGTTACCAGAGCATTATTTAATAAGATAGTTGTAAAGGCTTGCATAATCTGAATAAAAATGTTCATGACATACGATCTAAGATTATTTTATTTTGAATGGCTCTTTAACTAAGGAAGGTTTAAGATAAATACTAACTCACAAACTTCCTTTATTATTGTTTATGCAACTCTTTAAATTTATCTACAACTGTTTCGCTAACAAAGTAAACTAGGTTCATTCAAGCACTTTTCTGTGATATTAAATAACGAATTATTAAATGTACGGCTGTGATCAAATTCATACTGAAAGATTTAACGAGATGATCGTTTTGCAATTTCATACTGAATCAAGTGGAAAATATCCCATATTAAGTAGTTCATCTAATCAGACTCACAACTGTAATTAACATTTGTCTATTTAAACAACTAACACTTTAGACATTTCTTGGTTGACAATAAACATAAGATTCAAAAGCTTTTATTTACTAGTCTTGTCATCGTTTTTATCATCAATATTTAAGAGTATTAATCGCTTGTTCCCAACGGTCGGTCACCTAGTAATAACATATACCACGATGCTTAATATTTAGTATTCATAGGATGTTATGGACGTTTACTATAGAGTAATACTTAGTTAAATGACTTGATGTTTTAGTGTACTTTTTCATTGTTAAGTAGTTATAAGCCAACGATTGAAAATACTAGATCTAGTTTTCTTATTGTCTAACACTAGTCAGCTATACAGAATTTTAAAAATGACGGACTCTATGCACCACGAAGATTCGAATTCTTATCATTCGTTAATGCAATTAGAGATGTTACGACTGTGTTTTTTGGATTAATTAACGTATTCTACTCACATCTACGTTTAGCATACTTTATTAGGTTCAATGTATTGTTTATCTAAATATCTAAAAATAAGTTACTATTTTTGCTTAATTGAAATTAAATCTCTATTGTGAAATTATTATAAACAAAAGTTTGTCGTTGCAAAATGTAATTTTTCAAAGTGAAAAACTTTGATTTAAATTCATTTCAAATTTTATTGAATATACATTTACAATTATCAATTCACTAGCTCAAATACAATTTCACCTTATATTTCTCTTTACGTATTAATTTCTTTTGTTAACAGAGCCTAAAATATATGTGTGTTAGAGGGAATGAACAAGTTAAAATTCACGGTTCATTTCAACATTTCTTATAACCAATCATGTTTTTGTAGCCGAGTTAGTCGAGTATTACTCAGCAAAAATGTTATCCTGTGTTAAAATAAAACATGAACCAATGTAGGTGTTTTCACATCATTTGATGATATATTTCTGAAAATCAACTTATTATAATCAATATTTCCACAGCCAATCAAAAATCACAAACCGAAATCAAATCTCTGAGATCACTGGAGATTTACTAAAACAACACAAAACCTACGGCTAATTGACGAAAGTGAGTAAATCAATCCTAGCGTTCATAACCCACATTGGTAACGTATGAGAGAAAGAAGTAAAAATAAAGAAATTAATTAAAATATTAAAATCCACTACGTGGTTATCTAACGAAATGCTGAAGTTATAACTACATGAAAGCAAGAAAATTAACAAACCTTTATGCGAGCTGTAATCAAACTTCGACGATCAAACGATTTTATTAATATATCGTCTAAGTCGGATGGAGGTTGAAGTCCGTGGTCTTCTGCCCCTGGAAGTGTATATGATTCTGTTAAACCACCAGTCAGATCATCCATTGCATCTCCGACAAGTCCAACATTCAAAGCTTCATATGACCCATTTAGTCTGAAATTGTTTGAAATTTTTCCAAAATAAATTTCGACGGTAAAAAATGACGTCAACTGAAAGTTAATCAGCTAAGTTGAATAAAACAACTCAAGATTTAAAACGAGTCACTGAAACTAGATATTTAAACATTCCACGGCTCTAGTTCTATCGTTTCCCTGCTTGTTAGGAGCGTTAGCCTTATGGCTTTCAGAGACTCACGACTTTCGCCACGAGGCATAGTAACTCTTCACTATGAATCCCCTTCTCCCTCCACATTCAACCAGTTCTTTATAGTTGGGGGTCCCATCTTACGGGTTGAGGTTGTTAAACCTTCCCCAAACCCTCCTCTTCTACCTGGGCACGGGACCGGCAGTAACCCTTGTGAAGCTCCAGGCAGAGTCACTGACAAATAGACAAATGTTTAAGTTGGGACCTTATGGATAATTATTGACTAAAGTTTCAAGATGTACAAGTTACGACATAATTGGACCCAGTATATACATCCAAGACAAACACTACTTAAGCAGTAATGATTAGTAATTGAAAGCCCCCATTTATATAACTTTCAATATGATCTATTTTTCAATTCAGGTTATTTAATATGTTGTCCTTCACCATGTTGATTTTCTAAGCTTAATAAGCGACAAAATGATTAAAGTAAAACAAAAATTGTTTCAAATTCTCAAAATTTACTTTAACTCTTGAATTAGTGTACAGGGATTGAAACTGATTTCTCTAAATAGTATTATATTAAAGAACCATAAATACAAATTCTACCAACAATCGTGTGTTGTCTATTTTCATGTATATTTTCAACCATTCTGTAATATAGCACCATCAACTAGAAAAGAAAAGTAACTAGAAAGTACTTGTTAGTAACTTCATTATTTTGCAAGTACTACCTTGTATTACTTTAGAATAACTCTCTTCGTTACAAACTGTAGGAATTAATTTTTCGCAAGAATTATAAATAAACAACGCCATTAACCTAGTAATTTGCATCTGTGATCATGAAGCACCTTAGCATTTCATAATAGTATATAAATAGTTCTAAATGAAGCAATAAATAATCAAATTTATCAGAATTTTGTTATGATATTCAAAAATACTCACACAATGAATGAATTACTGAATAGAAATATTTAACTAACTTTGCGTAAGCTTTTTCCAATAATGTTGGCCAAAATTCTGTTAAACGTCCAGAATGTACAAACAACGGTTGACCACCAGATTTAACTGGAAGACGATCATCAATATAAACTTCTTCCCAACGCCCAAAACGCCAGAATCGAAAGGCAAATATGCCAGCATACCATTCTACTCGAAACGACTGTCCAGTAGGAATAGTACGACTAAGAAGACTCGGTTGGCTGGCTATAGCAGCCAATGCAGCAACTACCCAACAATCTCCTACAAAGTTAAAACAAAAACTGATTGGTATCATTAATTGTATGACTCACTTGGTGAAACAGACTAAACAGCCGGCTACATAAGTATGGGTATATGCTGTTTATCAAAAAAATATACGGGCACAGACAAATATCTAGAAGAAAGACTGTTTTTAATTACATTGAGTGCTTGAAGTGAAAATGGGGACTTAGAACAAAATCCATTATATTTGTAAACCAGAATTTCTATTTAGTAGTAGATATAGTGAAATATTTATCAAAACTGTAGGAAACGTTCAGTTACTAACATATTCAGAGTCACGAGGGTTATTTGGTAATTATATATATGTTCAAGACCCTCGTATTACTTACATAGTTTCCTGTGAATTGGCTCATGAACGTTATCGCCAATAAACTTTCTCCATGATTTGTTGCATTCACTGATACTTATAGAATAATTAACGTTATTCGCACACTCTTATTTGGTAACGATCAATAACTTTAAAGTGTGTTTGCGAAATGAAGTCTAATTTAAATCAAAAATGAAAATCAAACCTTAAGTTAATTACAGTATAACTATTACCTCTAATCAACTGTTTCTATTTGGTTGCTGCTAATTATTTGACTCCTTACAGTAATAAACACACTTTTGTGATTACTATTGTCATGCATTCGTTGCTAATCCTACTGGACTTTTGTTCGTATTTTACTGAATAAGTTTTTATTACTTTAAAAGTGTTTCCTAGTATTCAGATAATCATTCGTAATTTCATCCGCATTCAAATCCTTTTCCGTACGGACGGCGTACTTGAATATCTGGGCTATCTGTTCCTGCCATCTAGATATTTCAACAAGCTATATGCTTCCTTGTTTTTTTAACAGATCATTATGTCAAATAATTGCATAACCTATTCGTGTGTGTTTGTGAAAAGTTTACGACATTTCGCTGTACGTTACAACAATTTACAATCGGAGACATTGTGATGGCTGGCGATGTGCATTGAAAAGAATGAGTGTTATTTAGATGTCGACCTCTAAAATGCTAACATCCAACTGGCGATCGCTCAATGTTTAATGTCAATATCAATCAAGAAATAAGAAACGGAAAATCGCTGATATACTTTGTGCTGAGGATTCTATATTGTACCAAAAACCTAATACTGAATAAAACTAATAATAATGACTAATGTAATATTGAATATCGTGTACTTCTATATTAAGTATTCAAAAAATAATAATTCTACAAGCAGACGACTAACCTAATTCTCCCTGTCTCAGTTCGCCGAGTTTGATTCCACCTTCACCAATGAATTCTGGTGTTGATATCTTTCTTGGAGTTATACCCATGGAACCACCTCCGCTGTTCGCAGCAACTATTTCACTTGGACGCATCCAGACAATTTGACATGGTGGTCTTTGACTGTAATAAAGACTTGAGTCATCAGCTGGAAAAGCAGAATCGCAAAACAAATGGCCTGATTGGAGAAGATCTTGACGAATTTTTTCAAATGAACTTGAAGGTCCACCGACTGGGCTAAAAACTGTACTTGGTCTGTTAACCATAGGGCTAGGACTTGCTCCTATATCAATTATACGAGGAAATATTAGGCGATATCTTACAAATACTCGAGTAAAAATTATTAATACAAAAAAATGTTAATTAATTCTCAGTAACGACATTCAAACCAGTATCTCGTAAAAAGTGGTGAAAGATTTAAAATATTTGAGTATGAAAGTCATAATCTTTTCTGCCTCCCTCATGTTCCGAAAATATGCCCAAATTAAGTTTAATTCATTAAGTTTATGAAATTATAAAGTAGAATTTTTTATACAAACAGGTTATCATTTATTGTTCTTACAGTTAGAGTATTGAATGGAATGAATTAAGGCAATTATACAGCTCATCAACGAAACAGTAACACTCATCACATGCTATGCCAGAAAACTATCATAAATTCTCAAGGTGAACTGCTCACACTTATTATTGTAATATTTTAGCTTTTTTAAAGTTACATTTACAAAGTTAGACAATAAGTTTAAACAAAATTTGACAACAAAGTTATATTAGATTATGACCTCAAGACTTGTAAAACAGATTACGAACTTTGTCGAGTAGTATATAATCGTCTAAAAATCAGTGATGTCGGTGCAACCAAATCATTTTATTATGAATCGCATTTACAACCACAGTTGATACTAAAAACGTTTCTGATTAAAGTACATTCCATGTCTAAATAAATCAACTGCATACTAACATTTTTCAACCAGAGTAACATATTTGGCGTATATATAGAACTTTTGAAAAATCAATTCTGAAATGTCTCATCTATAATGATACATTTGAAACATAGGACCGACTGATAGTTTTACACTTTACGCAAATGTTTTCAATTTTGAAACGGTTTGCGCTACTGGCTGACTTTAATCAATAGACGAAGGAAACATTTATGCATTGTCATGACAGAATTTACTTTACATTTCATGTGCAGTCAAGTTAGCAATTTCACTAAATAAATTTATCCAAACTAAAGTATCTTACTCATAACGCTTCAACTGTTGTATCATCGGCTCCTTTTAAAATCTTGCATGATTAAATGCAGTTTAAAAAATCGTAACTTTTGGCAAAACTATTGGAGATATTCTCTGAGATAACAGCATTTACTCTAACAAACTTAATTAACAATGTAACGTTTAAACTATAGTTCACTCTACTCTTTCGTGGTTTGAATACATAGACGTTTAATATAAGGGAGTATATGCATCTTTCATCACATTATTTTAATTATCTATTTCCGAATGTATTACTAACTGTTCTTACTACTTAGAATCAAATTGAGTTGTTAGTATTGACTCAAATAGCCAGAAGTTAGTCATACTTTTCGATTTGTACGGATTAGAATAGTGACAAATGAAAGCATAGCAGAGTAAAGAATTCACTACATGTGGCGATCACAGGCTAAGCAGGATCCCATTCGAGTGAATCTTACCTTTTTTATTGAGTAATTTAAAATATGTAAATACCTTACTGCAGTCAATGTTTTGTAAGAAGAAAGTAACTCTTTTCTGACTTTTATGGTGTAACGATAGACAAGAAGCTAGGACGCTTTCTGACAAAATATGTTTCCGTAACAATATGCTTTAATAATATTTTTTTATTTTTCTCATGAGATGTGAATAACATATGATTTTATATTATAGAGCAAAACTCACAAACCTTCCTTTCTACAAATTTTAGATTGTGTTATATATTATCTTCTTTTAAAACGACCGAGTTCTTTCCTAAAACGCTATTGCTAAAGATTATTTTTATTTTCGAACATTTTCTGAATAGCTTATTCTACTCCAAATAAATTATTGATTATACGTGACCTAAGATGAAAGCCGGCCCTTGAATATATAGTTAGCCGAACTTCGTGATTATTACTTCATGTCGGAGGGCTAATGTCGGTTGAAGAAAAGATATAGTTTTTTGTGTTGGTTCATTTAAAAATAGTTGAGCTAAGCATTGTAGTTGTGAATCATAATTTTGTAATGAATATATGACCTCAACCTACCAACTTCTAGTTTCAATTATTAGGTTGTCTTAGTCTGACTCCTTTATTACTGTAAACTGTCATCAATCGTTTTAATTACTTAATATACGCTTATTTTACATCGTACCAGAGTGATCTTCTCCTATTCTTTACCATTTTAGGTTCTAACACACGTTGCTCTCTACGCACGCAGCTTCAGGCTAGACAGTCAGTCAGCTACAACGTAAATGGATGGAACGCTAAAACATACGATCCAATATCATTGGCGCTGGTATATAAAGTAAATGGTGGCAAAATGAGAATTAAACAGCCCGAAATATTTTATCAATACATAGTACAATCCTAAAAACTGCAAATCTAAAGGACTAGTGACTGAGTTTACTCCAAGGCCTATTGAAACTAAGCTAGTTATCTCTACTTCCAAATAGATATTTCTATGACATCAAAACTAAAAATTGTTTTGGATGTCTGCATAAACTTAGTTTAAAAATGTATAGAGATAATAAGTAGCTGTATAAATAAAAGTATTTTTATATGCAACGGCGTATACGTGAAAACGCTCGAATTGGTGAAAAATAAGATAGCGGGATTGTGCTACAAAAGTTGCTGAAGTAGTCTACAAATTAATCTTAGTTCGATCTAGGTTAACTAGAAAACTCAAAGTGTCATCTCACTTACTGCAATAATTATTTTCAGTAGCTTTCGGGCTCAAAGGGCCTCTTTCAGAATCAAACAACATCGCTCTTGTGTTGTGTCTTGCTGTTTTCATGTCATTGACATACTTCTGCGGTGTGTCTGGGGGATATCCAGTCTTATCCCTTAATTTATATTGCGCAGAAGAATTATGGCCATATCCGAATGAGTTTCCACATAAATTTAGGTGTTCCAACTTATTTTCCAAAGAACAATTTGAAGGCAAATTGGATTGCATTGAAAAAAACTGATAATAAGTTTAGTGCTAACACGATTACGGAAATTCCAGATGAGATGTCATCTTGTTCATCCCACCGCTAAAAGTTCATAAGGATAAAGCTATTAGCTTGCATGATTCAAACAAACTGGACATTCTGTACGGGTTTTTTAATATTAAATCTTATATAATGATAACACGATTGTTTTTTACAAATATATGTGTAGTAATGAGTGTTTGTAGACTCGAAATTCTATATATATTCACACAACTTATTCCAAAACATGAGCTTCGTAAGCTGTTAGGTAGTAATGAGATCGAAAATTTCTGATATTCTACCGCCATCAATTTGCCACTCTGACATTTGTGAAAGAAAGTATACATTGTTTCCCTCACATATGGCTAAGTATGGATGTTTTTGGATGGATTTTCAAGGTATAGACATGAAATCCAAAGTTTCAATGCACCTTAACTTTTAGTAATTATTCAACCAAATTAGAAGACAGATCTGGTATTTTTACCATGGATTTTGTTTTCACCTCTGATGCGAAAAGATAAGAGACGGTGAGATTCAACAGAATTGTTAAACAAGTCTCTTAAAAAAACAAACTGGTGAAAAGTATAACAATAACAGGCAGTGATAGCTCTGACTGTATCTATTCTAGGGTTATTGCCAGTCATGAGACCGGTTAAAGAAGTGGCGTTGGGTATGGAGTCAGCAGCTCCACCACGTAGAAAAAAACGTTGCTAAAAAAAGACGACAGAAAGAAAAAATTTAAACCATTAGAACCCTGCCCTCTGAGTTGAAGAGTTTTCATACAGAAAAATCATGACACTACATGATGAAAGTCAAGAAGTGATGAGCAACAACTACTTAAGGTAAATGGAATATCCGGAAAACGTGGAGTCCTGGGAGGAAACTTAAACTAAAGAAGCATTGGACGAATGAGCAAACAGCATCACAATCATTCAATACAGGCTTCTTTCGAGAGACTTTATTTAGCTCATGAGAGAGTCACAGTGGAGCGCAAGGTTAACTGTTGAAACACACAAAGCTTTTCAACATTCATTGCAATATAATGGTGGATATAATGATCATCTGAAATAAGTGAGTCAATGAAGAGTTGAGCTCTATCGTTTTAACATATACTTAGTTGTTTGAAGTCAACTCTTTTCCAATCAACCTAAATTGTTACTTTAGCTTTCTCCTAGAATCGACTTCCGTAGGAACAGAGGTCCGATTAACCTATCTAACAAGAACACCTGTGTTTTGTTCCCGTAGCCCAAGGGAGAAATAATGACTCGTTCGTCTTCTGACTTATCGTCAATGACGACCAATTCCGTCAGCATTCGACGATAATCTATGAGTGTCTCTTCCACTACCAGCTTGCTATTTTATCTCGTAGCATTTGATTTCTTCCACAACTATCGCCGATGGTTCGCTACATTCCCTCTGTATGGCGGCCAAAGCTTGTAAGAGAAAAGGGGGTGATGAAATGAAACAAGAATATCTGAGGAAGTGCCGTGAGTGGGTTACACAACACCATGCCGTTGCGATATGATTTTCCTATGCTTTGTCTGGCTGTCACGTGTTTACTCACCTGCCCTTTGAGTCGCCCTCAAGTGAAAAATAATAGGGAATCCACTTCAAAAGCAATAATGAAAATCAGTCAAACCTGAAGAACTGCTCCGCTGCCTGTATAAAATAATAAAATACGGAAAGGAAATACGCAAATAAAATTGATAGTTGTTATGTTCCACGTAAGTGTCATGGCTTCCAGAGTGGAATGACAATCTGGTATGCTTTTGGAATTCTTTATTATAGTGAGGGTTTAAAGCACGTGTTTACGAGGAACTCTTCCGATGTTTCCATTTAACTTGCTTTTTGACCCTTATTTGTGGCAAATTTTAAGAAAGTGACTAATTTGGCAATCGAAGATTCTTTTCTATTTTTTGACTTACGCCTTTAGATTTAACTACTATCAGACGTAATCTTCAAGCTCGTAATGTTCCTGTGACTGATAAAATTGTGAGTTTATTTTATCTTAAAGGAAACATATCTATGTAATCCTGTTAAGTAATAATTGCTACTATTCATCTACGCTTGTGTTTGATACAATAATAATTGTCTCTACTGTATTGTGTCCTAGTTCTTATGATTGTAAAAATAATTGGGCTATTTTTTAGCTTCTACATTAGGCTTAGGATTTAGTTTCTTTCAGTTTTGGCCTGCAGATGTGGCAGTAACTGCAAAGATACTCCACATTCTCTTCATCAAGATTTGGGATGGAGAACAAGTACCATCAGACTGGAAAGAACGACACCTGATCAATATACCAAAGAAAAGCGATCTCAGCAACTGTGATAACTACAGAGGCATCACCGTTCTCTCAGTACCTAGGAAAGTCTTTAACAGGGTATGGTTAAACAGGATGCAGGACTCCGTTGACGCTCAACAGGCTAGATTAAGTAAGGATCGTTTACTGACCAAATCGCAACACTATGGATCATTGTGGGACAACCAATTGAATGGAACTCATTACTCTACATCAAAAAGCATTTGATAGCGTGAACAGAACAACACTATGGAAGCCTCTTCGACACTACGGCGTACCTGAGAAAATAGTCAATGTCATACGGAATTCCTATGATGGATTAAACTGCAAAATTGTGCATGGAGGACAGTTGACAAACTCATTCGAGGTAAAGGCCGGTGTCAGGCAAGGTTTCTTACTCTCACACATCTTCATTCTCCTGGTGATTGAATGGATGGATCATGAAGACGTCAATATGTGAGGAGAAGCATGGGATACAGTGGAGAGCTAGAATGCGGCTGGACGACCTAGACTTCGTAGATGATCTGGTTCTTTTTGTAAGATCCATTTTGAAGGTTTTGTGTGTTGGTGAAAATCCCTCCATGTATATACCTGTAATTTGTTCCTATTGATCCCCTTAGTTGTACATTGTTGTATTTTGATTACATTTGAATTGTTAATACTTGTATTTTTTTATTATAGTTTTTGTTTTTCTTACGCATTCACTAAGTCTATGTTTCTTCCTGAACTGCATTTTTGTTGTTTTACTTGACACTTGTTCTTGGCGGTAGCCATATTGATTTCCTCCTCCTTTTGTGTGTGTTCTATCCAGTCAGGATAGAATAACGTTCATTTGTTGTGACTGGTAATTTTCCCTCATCTTCTATCAACTTCTTTATTTATTGTAATTTAGATTTGATTGATTGAACAATTATTGGTTGAATAGCCAAGTGGTAATATTTGTTTAGGTAACGATCTACATTTAAATTTATGATGAATTATAGAACCGCTATTTACCCGATTACTTGTTTTGATTTCGACGGGAAAGGGCGCGTGTCTAAAGTCCACGGTCGGTTATTCTTCTATCCAAACTGTAGTTTGGATTCTACAATATTTAGGTAAATTTAACCGGTTAGAGAATGAAAGAAGATAGTTTACTAAATGATCAGATTTTGGAAAAATGTAAACAACAAAAATGTGATTATTAACCCCCCCTATTCACATCCCATGCTAATGGAGTAAACGGTCAACTTTCTGCAAAGTGATTCTAGACGTCTGCTGCGTTCTGAAATTTTTACTGGTGCGTTTCGGAAGGATAGTGGAAGTTTCGCTACCAAACTGTCCACCGTAGAGTGTAAGAAATGTCAATCATATTGTTCTAATGATCAGCGGAAAAACTGACCACGTGTGAACTTTATTAACAATGAAAAACTTGGGTGTAAAAATCGATGTTGACAGTATGGAACGAGATTGAAAATTCATACTGAAGTACCTGTAGCGGTAAGTAAATCCACAATATAAATAGCTCTGTTAGTTTTTGAGATTGGATGCTGACCACATTAGATTTAATAGAATCACCCAGCTGAAGGCGCTCGGCCATGCATCCGCACCAGATCACGAGTGGGAACGCCGTGCTCAACATCTACCGCAATCGCTAGCCAGATTAGATCAGACGACTCTCGATATATTGATAGTCATCAAATATATCTTCCAATCTCCTTGATTCTGTCTTTTGATTTCTCTTGGTGGGTACGAGTTATATTAGAAGGTGTTACTGGTTAAAGCGTTGTCAAATACTGAATACTTGTGGCATCTTCATTGTTGAGCCCGACGTGATCTGGTACACCAAATCGTAAACTGTGAGTCTGTTCCATTTTCGGGTTCTATATATCATTGCCTTATCTTGATTTTTTATACATCCTGATATTTTTTCACTTGTTTTTGGATGTATACATTTATTTCATTCCTTCATACTCGTGCTTGATATTTCACCATGACTGAACAGATACCCAAAGTACTTAAGCTCAAGACTTTGTCCCCGCCCTCGTTTCAACTGATGCCCTTCTGGCAAGACAACATCGAAGCCTAGTTCTGCTACGCAGAAGCCGACTTCCACGAGCACGGCGTGATCGACACACGTGCACAATTCCTCACAGTAGTCGAGGCACTACCGCGCGAATTCAACGGGTACGTAACACCTAGTATTTTACTAGTGATGTTTCTGAACCTTACGAAACCTTAAAACGTTCGATTCTTAAACGAGGAGACCTGACCGATCGACAAAGGTTAGATCAACTCTTTAATAACGTAGACCTGTAACACGGTTTTGCGACGGACATGTTGCAAAGGATGAGAGAGGTTATAGGCCCAAGAACTTTCGACGAAGGTCTAAACTTCCCCAGCAGGTGCAAGCGGTTCTGGTCTCGTTTCATAACACCGCCTTAGACGAGCTGGCTACATCGGCCAACCGCACTTTAGAAATCACGAAATCTACAGTCAAAGAAAAGCCTCAAACAACGCAGAATGGCATTGCAGAGTTATGTCATTCACTAACGCATTATCTTAGTTTTCGTAACGACTAGAAACGGCCACACAACCCACGTAGAAGCACTTCACGTAAGCGATCTGTCTCTAAACCACGAGAGACGGATAACCCCGACTGGTGCTGGTATCATAACCAGTATGGAAAGTCTTCCAGAAATTGCAGAAAACCCTGCAATTATCCCAAATCAAAATCGACTGGCTCGAAAAACAATTCGGGAAACTTCCAAGCCGCCACGCATTAATGGCAACCGT